CAATCTATGAACCTAATTTACTCACAAAAAGAAGTAGGAAATTAGAAAAAAATAGGAAAAAAACCTTTTTTTCTCGAATCTACATGTGTTTCTATCACTCTGTGGATACCAAACATATGCAAATTTTCAAAATTTGCAACCGACTTATAGCGGGTTTCGCTTTTTGCTAGGCCTAGCTCCATCAAGCTACTATTTCTATTTCAGAAACTGAAGAATTAAAATGATCGTGAGCCGGTTTTCGAACTCTTAACCGTATAAAAAACGGTGTTGATCTTTGTCGACGTCTTTAAACTACGAACACTATTTGCGCAAATTCAAAAAAAAAAAACCCCTTCTTCTAAACTTCCGTTTTCTAAAAAAAACACTTTTTGGTGTCACATTACGTGTCAGTTCGGCTATTTGTGGAGAATTCTATCATTTTGGAGCTGCACGGCGACAAAAATTTGTAGGCTTTTCGCCTTCTTTTCGCTATTTTTTACTCAACTTTTTATAGAAGGCTGTGTCACTTCTCGGAATCAGCCTTGCAACAAATAAAATGTCGAGTGAGTCATTGGAAATCTGTGCAAAAGCGGAAACCGTTCAAAGTCGGTTGCAAAAAATGCTGAGATGGTACCAACAAGGTAGCTAAGATTTTCAAGTTTTTTTATAGATAGAAAAAGACTTTGAAAAAAAAATTTGATGAAGTTTATGAAATTTCTGGATAATCACCTTATCATTAAGAAGATTTCCAAAATCTCAACATCTTAAAAAAAAAAGAATCTTTACGCTGATTTTAAATTTCGAGCCGGATTCCGCTCTAAAAGCCTAAAAAATTTAACTCAAAGTTGAAAAATCATACAAATCAACCTTGAAAGATCATAAAACTGGTTCTTAGATTTCTTTGGCTCATTTAGATCACAGATTCAGAATCAGCTTAAAAAAATTGATTCTAGCGCACCTATTATATTCAAAAAAAGCAAAGACAAGAAATACCATTAGAAAGAGGGAAAAGGCGTAAAACGCATCGGGTCGGCTGCAAGTTTTCAAGGGAGTTTAAATTATTTTTTTAGCTCCCCTGATTTTTTTTTGAAGGTTCAGAAAAGGGAAGAAAGTGTATTTTCTGAACGCGCCCGACTTAAAACTATTTGCGCAACGGAGCACACTTTTCAATGTCAAGTTATCTGAAACCGCGACGCTTCGAGCCATTCCGAATGCGACCCGGATTTTTTGACGCTAACGTTGATGAAAAAAAAATCGAACACAGAATTTTTTTTTGAAAACTTTCCTTCAATTATCTCCTACTTGGTCCAGGAAGTCGAAAAGAGATCCTCACAACGAAAAAAAAGAAGCCATGGTCATGTAACTGTTGCGCTCCAATGACAAAAAAAGTCGATTCTTAATTAGAAATTTTTCTCACAATTTGAAGTTACACAAAAAAATGTATAAGGTGGAAATATTGATTATCTAGGAAAAAATACTGCTTTCTTGGGCCTTCAGGACAAAAAAACAGCCGTCTCAACGCCCAACTATCCTGCTCCATGGACAAAAAATTTTCATTCTCAATTTTTTTTTCTCCTGCAAACCACAAACCACACTACGCAAAAAATAAATAGATACGAACTTTGACGCTGATCTTTCGCGGGTCGAATTTCTTGCTATTTTGCTCTCGAGAGGAAAAAGGTCTTTCGCGCCTCATTTTTTTTTCTCTATGGTTCGAAGCGACACGATCTGTGATGGGACAGAGATCGCTTTCTAATTTTTCTGGAGTTCAAAAAGTCTATAGGTCGAAGGCAACAAGATAATGGGAAAGAACCACCTTCGAGAAAACTTTGAGAGAGAATTTTAGTTCGAACTGTTCAAAAACTTTTGAATATCTTCAAAAAAAAGTTTTCGATAAATTCTTTTATGAAAAAAATGTTCAGCATCAACTAATTCATGCCTTGACCGCACTTAAAAAAGCTCAGCCCTGAGTAGAAATGCTTCCGACCCAAAACGACTTACGCTTTAAGACATCTCTCCGTGTTTGAGCGTCAACTTGTGACCTTCCAAATGCGACCAGATTTACATTACCAATCGAAAAGAAGCAAATAAAAAAATAAATAAAAAGTTCAAAAACGTGTCTTTTTCCTACAAAATAGGTGAGAAAAAATAGCCGCCTTGAAAATCCGCTTGTGCGCTCCATGGATAAACCCTTATCCCTGGAGCGCAAAAGTCCAAATTTTCGAGGCTCTTTTTTCTCATTCTCTTCTTTCCGTTGCTTTCTTTTTTCCACATTCCTTTCGAGAATCTCCTCTTTCCAACTTCCTTTTAGGGTCTCTAGGAATGTTCCTCGTCTTTTTTTCTCCTTGCTCTTGACTTTGCGATCCTCGCGTTTCCACACCTTTTTGCTCTCCTCTCCGAGCAGCACTTTAAAAGCAAAACTCTTCAAACAAACCGGCGTGAAGTCTCTCGCGCGGGAGCAAAGCAGAAAAAAAGAGAGGTCAAGTCGGATGAAAAAAACCGAACAGCAAAAACAATGAAACAGGGGAATGTTGCCTTGTTGGGGAAATTGGAGCTGAGATCCAGAGAAAAAGAGAATTCCAAGCCATGGAAAATGAAGAAACTCTGAATTTTAACGGCTCTGATAAATAATTATACTTGATTTTGCCCCAAGGTTCAAAAAAAAAAATGAAATAAACGGGTTGAAACTGCAAAAAGAAGCTTACGGCAAGCCGAATTCCCAAGCCGTCTCCGATCCAAGTACTACCGGCTCTCAACGTTGCTTAACTTGCCAGATCGGACGGGATGGCGTGTTTTCAACGTGATGTGGTCGTAAGCGAGAGAGGAGGTGTTTCTGGGCGCGATATTGGTTCTCATAAAGTTTAATCTACAGAGAGGCGGGTTCAAAAGGCCATTTTAAGCTGTCCGACTCGGCTGAGCGACCCGGCTGAGCTAAAGTTGAAAAGTGTTGAAGAAATATGAGTGAATTAATTTCAAAAAAATCATAGCTTCTGTGGAAAATTTGGATTTTTTCTACAGTAATCTTTTTCAAAGAGAAGATTCATCAATACACAGAATTTATAGTCCATTCCGATTAAGATCTATCTGATCTTCGCAAAAAAAGACATCAAATTAATTAATTTCTCGTTCTTTCCACTTTTTCCCATCATTCGGATTGTTCTTTGGACGTGAACGAGATCAGCCTGACCAGTGAAACAAATGATTGAAATCTTTCTGGTCCCTTTTCAAAAAACCCCGATAGGGGTCGAAAAAGTGGTCCCTATAGGGGTAAAACTGAGGTGGTCCTTTAAGGGTTTAGGATCTGACTCTTAAGCCCCTAAAGCACAAGGGGACCCTAGAGGGGACTTTTAATTTCATGAAAAAAAGGCTTCTTTATCCAGTTTTTCCTATGAGGGATAGTTCACAACGATTACCGACTAACATGTCCCCTATAGGGGCCACTTATGCAAGCTTTAGTGGCACCTATAGGGGTTGTTGAAGTGGTCCCTAGAGAGGAAGTATGTAATGTTGAAGAAAATGATTTTTTAAGATCTTTACTTGACCCAAAAAATTTCAGTGAAGTGTACCCCCCCAAAAAAAAAACGCAGTACTACTAGAAAAAGACCACAAACAGTACAGTACTCAGTGGTACGGTATATTATTCAATTGAGTTTTTGGAGGCTCAGGGGGGTTAGCCTTTTTTTTCGTCTTTTTGGGACGCTCAGAAGACTTTTTTCAATCTTAAGGCCAAAATTTTCAGTTTTCGAACTTTTCTTGGTCAAAAACATCACGAAAAATCCCAAAGATCATTTTTTGCCATTCTTCCTTTCTCAGCCTCCAAAATTCCAGTACCCTGCTTGCCATTTGGCAAGAGCGTTATAAACAGCCGTGTTATAACACTTAAACTGGAGGTACAAGGCGAATCGTCTTTTGTGCATTCCTCTCGACGCAGAAACTGATAAGATAAGGGCCCATCCTCAACAAATCAGTATGAATTGTGCCGCGGCGACAAAAATTTCCCTACTTGGCCCGGCTTTTGTTTGTAGACACTAATAAAGTCCCTTTTTTCCCGGTCCATTTTTTTCCCTAGGACATTTATTGGGAAGAAATCGATGCTCGTTTAATTTTTAACGGACCTTTTCTACTAGAAATGCATGACAACTTGTTCTGGCCATAATTCATCCACCTCCTCCTTTTTCGTGTCGAGATATTTTTTGTAAAAAGGTCGATGCTCCTTTAAATTTTACCGCTTCTTTCTGTTTAATAATAATTTTTCATACATTTTTTTGTGATGAAAAAAATAAAAAAATATTAGAAATTAATTCAATAAAATTGATTTTTCTGGCTTGTAATCGACGCATAAAAAAATTTCCAAAATTCCTGATTTTTCACTTTTTTTAAAAAAATTTTTTTTTCCTAAACATGATCCCTCATCATTGTAACTTTAATACATTTCACTATTTTCAAGCTCAAAAATGAATTTTTTTTTTCTTACAGAATGGGCGATTTAAATGAGGACCTGCATGTGGCGGTCCTAGCCGTCAAACAAAAGTGTGCGGAGGTTCAGCAGAAAATTTTCGCCGAGGACCAGGTTACTGTAATTTTCCCCAAGGATACTGTATTCAGTCATTAATTTTTTTAGTCAATGAAAAAAAATTTTTTTTCGTTTACCATTGCAATTTTGTGAAACTCATTCATCCAAACGTTTATTTCAGAGCTTATCGTAGTACGGTATAATTCAGAGTACTGTAGGAGGGTTACGGTAGTCCAAGTTTAATTTTTCTCAAATTTTCACTGTTCTGATCAATTGGTGAAGCTTCATTCTCTGAAAAACGCAGCACATTTCGTGAATTTCGCTACAGTAACCCAAGCCATCGGGTTACGGTAGCGACATTTTTGAAACTTTACAGTATCCCCTGAGTGAGCTACTGTAGTTATAGCCCTTATAGAGCCATTTTCGAAGCACGACCTAGCCTCGTGTGATAAAATCATCAAAAAAAGCGAAATTTTATCAAATAATACTGTAGATTACTGTACTATGCCTTTTGTATACAGTAGTTTTTCAGAGTCTTCCTCACAAAAACGGCCATTTGAACGTCCGACGCTACATTTACGCGTTAACAACGGCGAAAAAAGAGGTTTTTTTTTTAATATTTTATTTTCTACTTATCAAATCACTCACTGAAATTTGCTTTTTCGAAAAAAAAACATGTCAAAATGATTCATCTTCCCACGACACTTACTCATAATCTTTACATTTTCTAATCTATAACCTTTCGGGCCGAAATGTTGGAAACTACGTAAAACGCGTAGGTTTGTAGCGTTATCAGGCCGTCGACTTGGTGGCGCCTACGCTTTGTGAAAAGAGAGGAGGAGGAAATTGGAATGAAATTACGATTTGAGGGGGTTTTTTTTTTCTTTTTTGACGTAGAAAATTGATAAAAATACACACTTTTTTGCAACCTCGGGTGTAAAAATGAAACGGGAATAGAGTCTTCTGAACTTTGGGGCTATTCGGAGTTTTGGAATGAAGAGAAATGGGGGGGCTCTAGGAAAAACAATTTTTGGGAGGGGCTAGAACCTGCGATCTTTTGATTTCTAGAAATAAGCCTAAGCCACCGAGCCATCCGGAAACAAGTGCAAAACCGGAAAATTGGTTGTCGACTTTTGCAAATGAGAGTCTAGCTGTTCGGAAACATCAGAGATTTAGAGAAACTTTTGATTATTTTTCAAAATCCTTGACTGGATTCGAACCTGCGATCTTTTGATCTCTGAGAATGGGCCTAAGCCACTGAGCCACCCGGAGACAAAAGCAAAACCGGAAAATCGTTTTGCAAAAGAGTGTCTAGTTGTTGGGAAACATCAGAATTGTGGTCAACTGTTCGAAAACCTCGAGTGGATTCGAACCTGCGACCTTTTGACCCTTAGAAAAGACTACTAGCCGTTGAGCTATGGGTAATATTGGACCCAATTCAAAAATATTGAGTTGGCTCCTACTTCGAGTTCAAAAAAAACATTTAAATCCATTCTAGAGAACTAAATTATGGAGTTTTTTGATCTATATTTGAAAAAAATTGAAAAATCCTGGAGAGGATTCGAACCTACGACCCCTGAATAGAATACTTTCCATATGAGAAACGAGAAAATTCTCTTTTTCTAGTTTCATGACGTCATATAGCGAAATTTGAAACCAACAAAACCACTTGAGGGAACCCTTGGTCGACGCAGCCGGTCTCTAACTCGGGTCTACATGGAGGAGAAGTATTACAGATCCGTGAGTCTACATTTTTGAAATGGCAAAAATGAAAAGTCAAGAAGAAGATCCGATCTTCTGACCTTTTTGATCATGACCTAATGGTTTACCGACTGAGCTATTCAGAAATCAGCTCCTCATCCCGACCAAGTCGAGCGAAACGAGTTCTACGAACAGGATTTCACGTGAGTTTTTTTTTTCGAAGACTTTCAAAACTTCTCCAGATAATCCCTTTAACGTAGATCTAAAAAAATCGAATTTTGGTATACAAAACTTGAGAAACAAAGACTCGCTGAGATGATTTTGCGGACTAAAACCTTACCGTAATCCCCAGATTTCATACTTCAGATCGAGAAAACTAGAAAAGCTTAAAGAAACCAGGCATTTCGGGAAACAGCTTCCAAAGTTTTGATTGCGGACTTAGTTCTTACCGTAATCCTCAGAAGTCTGATCTTGAACTGAGTGGGCTGCAGGATCAAGAAACGAAATTTCATAGAAAGGTTGCTCAAATTGAAAAAAAGACTGTCTGAGATGATTTTGAGAGAAGACTAAACTTAAGTAATAATTTGAATGAAGATAACATCAACCCTCTAAAGCGTGTATACAGACCAAACTTTTACCGTAATCTTTGAAATGAAGATAGTTTAGGCTTTAAAGCGTGTATAGAGATCTAACTCATACCGTAATCTTTGAAATGAAGATGAAATACTTTAAAGCGTGTATACAGATCTAACCCATACCGTAATCTTCCAGACCGCAAGGAGAAGAGCGTCTGGAATTCACAGAGACTATCGACGCTCCCTTAACCGAACTCGAAGCAGAAGACGTGGCCCATGTCCAACGAGTCGCCAGGAAACTTCCAGAAGGCGTCGAGCCATGGACCCACGAGCTCGTGGTTACTGAAGAGGTGACCATTTTTTTCGAAACTAACGTCTTCAATACATTTTTTGATTTTTGACGTCTTAATTTTTTTTTTCCATGCTAATTAACGTCTTCAGGACGGCGAGTCAGGCCTCCTGGAAGATCGAACTCTGACCCTCCGAAGTGGAAATCATCCTTACGGGTCCAATCATCTGAACGACGTGGCCGAATCGTTATCGGAAAAGGTAAAAGGATTTTGGATTGAAAACTTGAAGCAAACCTTCAGATCGCCGAGTTCTTCGGAGTCCGAGATGAGATCCGAAAACGGGAGCTTTCCATGTCAGTAGTGCCGGTTTATGAGGAACATGGGACTCATTACGTTTCCTATGGTCTTAACAGGTCTGTTTTAAATCCCGATTCGGATTTATCCCTGCTACTAGTCCATAGTCAAGCCTTTTTGTCGAAGCTACTTGCAGGTCTTCGTCGCTGAGTTCGATTCACCGACGTCGTCAGGAGGAACGTCGTCAGCTCGACACCATCGAGGTAGAAGCAAATTCACGGGCTGAGCTTGCCGCAGACTCTCTTCCCAACATCTACGGCACCTTTGGAAGCTCTTATGGCACTTCCAGTACGGCTTGGAGCCACCAGAGAGAGCCAGGCTTCTTGTTCCGATACGACCAAAACGGAAAGATCATCCAGGAGTCCTACGGCACTTCTGGCCTTGGAAGGTACACAAGTTCGAATGGTGCTGCTCAAGTCGGAGGATACACCTCTTATGGGAGTACTGGAAGCGCTCTTGGAGAATACATCTTCCATGGAGCAAGAGAAAGCCAATCAAGCACTACTGAAGCCGCTCTCGGACATTACACTTCTCATGGAAGTTCTGAAGCTGTTCAAGCGAAAGAGAGCCAATCTAGCAGTACCGAAGTCGGACGCTACACCTATGGAAGTACTGGCAACGTCCTGGAAAATCGTCAGTACGACACTTCAAATCTAGGAAGGTACACGACCTATGGAAGTGCCATAAATGTGACCGAGGCCAACAAGTCCAGCAGCACTGGCAGTGTGGCTACAGTTGTGGCGAATCCCGAAGTCACCAAGTCTGTCCATCGAATCGAAACTACCACCATCTCTGAGCCGATCTACGATTCCGTTGCCAAAGAGCACATTTACGACATTCCTGAGCAAACTCCTGCTCCAATTCTAGCTTCCCCTCGATCACCAGTGCAGCTTCCGAAGAACTTCGGCACTTACTACGGCGCCGCTTCTTACATCTGCCTGAATCCCTATGACTACGAAGCTATCATGGCCAGGCCTTTGCACTATTCCTACAATTCTGAGTCCCATCGGGAAGTTCTGAGAGAATGGAAGGAGCATGAAGCCTTGGAAAGAGTCAAGGAGGAAGAAAGACGAGCCTATGAAGCTACTCTTGTTCAAACTCAGACTGAAGAGGTTCATCACATAATCGAAGAAGTTCGGCAAGAAATCGAGGAGCATGTGGAGCACTCTCTCCACCGAGCCTTGGAGCTGGACCATTCCCTTCTGGAAGTCGAGAAAACTATCATTGAAGCCCTGCCGCAAGTTGAGCCGGTACAGCAAGAAATTCTCCTTCACGAACTTCATCGAGCCTTGGAGCTGGAACACAGCCTGATCGAGGAAATAACCTACGCAAAATCCAGAAGCTCTACATCTTCCACCGTTCGGGTTCGATCTCTAGAAGAGGACGCCAGGATTCAAAGACTCCTGGAGGAGACTGCGATTCTTGAGGAGAATGCTCGAATCGCCGTGGAGAAGTTGGAATCATCTCGACGATCGAGTGGAGAAGAATACATTGTTCTGATCCGAGGAGTGGAGCTGGATCATCTGCCGTGGGACGTCGTCGGTTACAGTTTGCCTCCAGATGAGCCGGCGCCGATCTACGACGACTACCACGACGACGAGCACATCTACGCCGAGATTGAAGACCCTCCAGAGGAACTTTTCCACGCCACGCCTGTCGAAATTGTCTACGACTCGACGTCTTCCGATTCAGACACAATCTACGTCGGGAATGCTGCCCTTGATAGAGCCATGAGCGGTTATCAGAGTATCCGAGAAGTCTCACCAAAGCCAGCCCCGCGAGAAGAATACCGTGACGACAAGACGATCTACGTCGGCCGCGAAGCGTTGGCGTCGGTGTCGAGCAAGATGGACGTCGTCGAAAAACACGAGAAGCTGGAGAAGAGCGTCTTGGAGCGGGTCAAGGAGATCGAAAGCCAGCCGGGAGCCGGAGAACCTCCAAGAAGGTCGTGGAACGCCCTAGAGCTCTGGGGATCGGCAAACGACGTCAGCACTTCTGGACATGCCGTTGGAGGAGGTGTGGCCATTCATGAGAACTTCTGCGAGGTTGGTTTCAGAGTTTTTTGAGATTTAAGAAAAAATCTGATAAGAACGAGTTTTTTTACTATGTGTTTCACTCAATTTAACAGTGACTAGTTACATCTAAACCCAAAAAATTAGGAAGGTCATGGTCGCACGGAGAATGGCTCAAAGCAAAGTTGCACCCGACCTAAACTGACTTGCGCGCCGATATAGCCTTGTCAGCCCTCATTTGCGGATTCAAGCCGCAGCCGCTACGCATTGAGCTATTTAAAATGCGACCAGGAAAAATTCCCATCGCTTGCATTTTTCCAATGCGAGTAACGTTTCAGTCAGAATGCATAATGAGAATTAAATTTAACAACTTCGTTTAGCAATAGCTCAGTGGTTTAATTGAATTCGTATTTAATGGAGAAGGGAGATGTACATGCGCCTTTAAATTCTCCAAGATGTCTATGAACTAACTATTCCAGAAATCTTCCCATGCTGATCATCACCAACTGACGGAACACCACAGCAGTGCATTCTCCAGAGTGGTAATTGATTGAACTTGATTATTGTGTTCGCCATGCTTTTGAACTTGTCTGTGCTTTCTTTTATATGGCCAGTTCATACCGACTTTGAAAACCAAATGGGCATCTTGCCAAAACCTGTTTTGTTGTGTAGGCGATGTGGCTTTGGCGGGTACTTCCGGGAAAAAATTAGAAAACCTAATTTATCGACTTCTTTCACTGAACTACCGTATAAGAACGATAGTAGCTCGGTATGAGGGGGCATCTCTTTCAAAATGGAACTTCCCGCCAAAAGCCGCGCCGCGTAAGCAACGCGTCACTCATCGCTCTTTAAGTCGAAAAAAGATTGGAGGGCACAGACAGGTTAGAAAGTCATGACGAAGGGAAAACCTTAGCACCGAAAACCATGCACTGGGGAGGAATTTAGGAGAGCAAGGAGCACGAGTTCGAGCTGAAGCATCACCAGGAGCATGAAGAACGACATCATCATCAGGAACACCATCATGAGCAGCACCATGATCATCACCATGAGCAGCACCATGAGCAGCACCATGAGCAGCACCATGAGCATCACCATGAGCAGCATCATGAGCAGCATCATGAGCATCACCATGAGCATCACCACTATCATCACGAGCACGACCTTCTCTCGAAGAAGCACGACCACGACTTGGAGCTGGAACTTCTCGCCGCCCACCGTTTCTCCGGCCACGAACGCGATTGCCCCCGTTGCCGTCGACTAGCCATCGTGAAAATGACGTCATCCTTTTCTGGAGTGACGTCAGAAGAGCTGACGACGTCACGCGTTCAGACGAGCGCCTTCGAGTCCGTCCAAAAGGTGTCCGCATGAAAACCAAAAAACCCATCCTGCACGCGGTCTTGCTCAGCCCGATCCCCTAATCCATTTCCCACCTGCACATCTTCTTTTTAGCTACCGTAATCAGTTTAATAATCATCTTTTTAATTTTAGGAGACTCATCATGTTGAAGTGCAAACGGAGAAGAAGCCCGAGCCGAAGCCTATCGGTGAGTTTTGAAATTTAAAGGATTATTGACGTCATAAAATTTAGTGTATTCTATTTTAAACGGAGTATTTGATTAAAATGGCACATTTTCTGAATTTTTTTAATGATGTCATAAAAAAGGGAAAAATTAATTCTTTAAAAAGTTAAAAATAAAGATTTATGAAGTCTCTCTTCAATTTTTAAGAAAATTTAACAAACTTCTATTGAATAAAACTCATGCTGACGTCACTTTTGACTAATTTATGACGTCATTACTTAAATTTAAAATTTTTTTCTGTAGAATTATTTTAGAAAAGCAATTTTTCAAGAAGAAAAGACCTTAATGACGTCTATAATTACCAAAAAAAAATCTCCACATTTTTGACGTCACTAGGATGAGAAACACTATGAAATATAAGAAAATCGAGTCTCTAAACTGAGCAATAAACCTCCGCCACAGCTCGACGAACACCGCCGGTAGCGAAAAAAATCGCTAGCCGATTTAATCCGATCCGTAAGTTCGTAGGAATTTAGAGCTCCTTCCAGCTTTTGGATAGTATAGTTAGGCCAGTTATAGATTACTCTATACGGTTTGGTCTCGTTTCTTTCACACTAAAGTTACCGTAAACAGAGCTTCACTCAATAAACTGAATTAAGTGGGTCTCGAGGAAAAAAAAATCGTGGAAAGCTGGCTTAGAATGATCTATAGTTGAGCCTAAGAAGTTATTATAAGCTTGGTTACCAGGTAGTGCCTAGATATCATAGTTAACTGAGCCTAGTCAGATTAGCTTTGCTTCAAAAACACCCTAAAAGCTTCTCCCAGCGTCCAGATAGTCCAAATAGTGAGCATAGTAGACCAAAAATGTACCTCGAGGTACCCAAACTCGGTTACCAGGTAAAATAACTCCAATGCTAGTTATCCCGGCGCCTGAGCCGCCACGTCCAGTGCCAAAGAGACTTCCGAAGCCGGAGCCCGAGCCGGTCAAGCCACCGGAGCCGGAACGACCCAAGAGGAAGCCGTGGGTGCCGCCGCCGAAGCCGATTCAGTTCGATGAGGAGAAGCATGACCGTTTGTTTGAACTTGTCAAGTAGGAGGGTTGAGGGAAAGCTGTTCAGACCCACTGGGACCAGTGATTTTCCACGAGCTGATGCTTCAGAACGGCATTTTGAGGAAGAAGTATCACGAGGAGCAGACGGCTACCTTGACCAGGCCGGTCAGTCGGCCGGTTAGCCGGGCTAATAGGTTGGTTTTCCGGAAGGATGAAAAATGAAGAGAAGAAGGGAATCGGCCATGTAATAAATCTTCCGCTGATTTTACCAAAAATGAACGTCCGGGGGGTGATGAAGGGAAATAACTGGCAATTCCAGTGACTGAAAAGATGACCGAATGATCTTTTCATACGGTTTCCAATTCATGGCTTGAGAAGACGAAAATGGGCGTGGCCTGTCTGCACTCTCCACCAACCAGGCACTGTCTCGTTTCTCATCGTGCCAGGACCCTATTCTATGGATTTATACCCCATCCATTTCAGGAAAAACCCAAAAAAGTTCTAACAGCCTCCTATTTTCCAGTCGTCCGTCAACGCCTGGACTCGAACCGAAAACCATCGATTTCCCTCGTCTGGATCAGGTTCATCCCCAAGATCTCGACTTCGTCGCCGAGTACGTCAACGACCGCATCAACACCTACAATGGTTCATTTCTTTTTTATTCCGAGCATGATGATGGAGCAGAAAACATCTATTTAATCATATAATTCAGAAAAAGAACGACGAGCCAGCGAGCACAGGATCCACTCCTTGGAAAGGACTTCGCAAAGAGCTACTGCTGGAGGTATCGTAGGTAAGGGTTCTTCTTCTTCTTCCTACGCCTTTGTACCGCTTGAGCGGCGTCGGCGCCCCAGGTCGATTAGCCGGCGTCCTGATATCAGTGGACTGGCTCTAGTGACATATCCGTCCTTGTGTGTGACGGCTGGGGATTTTGACGTCGTGGTTTCCCACTACCAACATTTCTTAAACCCTTTGGTTGGGTCGGGGCGGGGATCGAACTTGTGACCCTGTGGACCGTAGACAGGCACACAGCCTGTTGCGCTACGGCGCGCCTCATCGTAGGTACGGTAGAAAAACAGCGAAAAATTGAGAAACCGACAAAAAATGATTATTACAGATTAATCAAGAGAGGGAGGGATGTGATCAAATTGATTTTTGGGAACAAGAGCATTAAATTTTTTAAATTTCAGCCCCTCGACCCTCCCGTTCAACTGAAACACATCAAACGAGAAATTCGGCAATCAACGTGGTTGGAGGTCACGTCGGTGGACATACTAGGCATGACCATTATGAGCATGGTGAGATTTTTGTAGTCGCACTGGGAATGGCTTTGAAGCGACGCGGTCGCGCCGCGTCTATGATGCATTTTGAACACCTTTCTTGTGGTGTAAATGTTGGTCAAAAACTATGAAGAAAACTTTTAAGCTGTTTTTGGACCAATCAGAGCAAAGTCCATTCATGAACGACTCGAAAGAAAAAATTTCTCGCCGTGACTCATTCTGGAACACTGCCAATGCTCCTTCAATTTGGAAAACTTCTGGAGGATGAAAAAAACTTTTTTAGCTCAAATTTACACTGAATCAACTTTAAAATAAATCAGGAACTTTCCTGTAAAATGACGTCATCTCAGTATTGCTCATTTTAGTCTGACTTCTCTGTGTCCTCCTTTTTTTCTTTGTCTTTTCCTGTTACTATGACCTGGTCCGTGAGGGAAAAGAGGGTGCAGATAGGTCAGACTTTCCGCAAATGGAGTATTTTGTATTTATATTATCTTATATAAGCCATTGAAGTGCTAGAAACACTTTGAAAATTGAAAATTGGCGTTTTTTTAAGCTATTTATGAATATACTATCAGTCTTCAAGCCGTTTTCCGCTAATTTTCTCAATTTTTCAGGCCTAGAAAGACGAGCCAGTGAACGCCATACTTCGGAAAGACCTGCTGTTGGAGGTATCGTAGGTGAGGATTACTGTAGAAAACATTTTTGAAATGGTGAATTACAGTATCCCAACCATCTCATGAAATCTACCTGATCAGAAGTTTGGAGCTCAATGAGGTCAGACCTCACGTCGGCGGTCATGCAAGTCACGGAAAATCGCATCAAGGTTTTTTTTCACTTGGGTCGCATTGGGAATGGCTGACTGCGTTGCGGTTACGCGGGATTTTGAAAAACTGGCTTCTACTGATTTTTTAATTTTTTTTGTTCTTCATTTAGCTTACAATTCCAAGAAAAGGAAAATTTTCTTGAATGAAATTTTATAAAAAATCGCTTCACAACCGCTACACGTTGAGTCGTTACACGTGCTACCATAATGATTTGAAATTTTTTTGAGGATCTTTATTTTTTTAGAAGTCCACAGAGCTGAATTGGAACGACCAAAGCCTATTGCTGTTGGAAACTTTGTGGCAGTTAAAAACGGGAGATCATCGGGATCATTCGAATGGTTGAATTTGGATCCTTTTTCAGAAATTAAAAAAAAAAACTTAGCTTTCATAAAAAATCCGGAGTGTACAATATAAGACTAAATGAAGAATGCAAATTTTTTTTCCCAAAAAAAGCCTTTTAACAAGTTTTTTGACCAAATTTTCAGTTAAACTCCGCTTGTCAAATAAAAAATACACCCTCTAATTTTTCCTACTGCTACAAAAGACAAAATCTCCAATCCATAGAAATTCCCTAATTTTTGCCGTTGAAAAGATTTTTTTTCTGAATAATCCTATTCCTTCTCGGGCTCATTTTTACTTTTTTTACAGCTTGAAGCTCTGGAAAAAGCTACCAATTTTCATTTTCTTCAAATTTTTGAGCTTCTCGGACTCTAGTGACCACTTTAGTAGCGTCACAACTCTTAAGTGACCCCTAGAATTAGACAGAAATGTCCGTTTCGCGTTCAATTCCTTGTGAGCGTTTTCTCAAAAATACAACCTCTTTTAAGAATTTCAAGAAACATTAATTCGGGATATGTGGCTCTACATGAAATTTTTCTAGACTTTTTTTGACTGGTCTTCAATTTCAGGCTTATTAATCTCGAAACTTCTTGATTTTTTTCTCGATCAATGTCTTTAGGATATCATTTAAAAACTACTACTTTTTTCAAAAACCATATTTGCAAAACTTGAAAAAGAAATTACTTCAAAAAAAGGCTGTAGGTTGTAATTTTTTTAGATTCCCCTGCCTCCCCCATTTCAGTTTAAGACGTCTAAATCGTAAAAAAACCCGTCTTTCCTTTTCAATTTTTTTCAACTAAAAAAACCCCATATTTGCTTGAAAAAAATAGTTCATTTTGAGAAAAAAAGATTTAAAATAAACGGTTTTCCATGGACCTTTGCCGATTTTTTTAGCTTCTAGAATACGAAAAAAATTTCATCTAAAGACTATATTTGAACACTTTCTATAGATAACCGTATATTTGGACCATTTTCAACTGAAATATTTCAAAATATAGTCATTTAATCTCAACCTTACAGAACTTTTCATCGCCCGACCGGTTTTGGCCGGTAGCGTTTCCGGAAGCGAGGACGGATATGCTCGTAAGGATCTCAAAATGAAATTTCAATGCAAAAATGAACCAATTTTGAGGTTTCGACAAAAACAAGTACGAAGATGTTTCCGTGGCCGGCGAAATCGAAGACGTTGACGTTGATTACGAAATCGCCTATGCTAATCAAGCCATCAGAAGGATGAGCCGACATAACCGGTGGTCGGAGGATGAAATGAAGGTTTTGGGAAGCTCACAAAAAAAACTGAAATTCAAAGAAAATAAAAATTCAGAGCCCAGTAAGTCCTCAAAGAAGAGCCCATTTGGACGCTGCCATACCTTTGAACTCGCCTTTTGTCAAGGTTTTTCTTGAAATCTCACTTTTCTCTAGTTTTTTTTTGCTCCTAAGACTCTAGGATGTTGCACTAGGTAAATTGATACCAGAAACGGCTCTTCGCCTCAAGACCTTCATAGAATTTGCCTATGCGCCTTTAAAGAATAAAAGTGAGCCTCATTATACGTAAATTAACACTTGAAATGGCTCTTCGTCTCGAGACCCTCATGAAATTCGCGCTTGAGCCTTTGAAAAACCACATTGAGTCTCATAATACGTTTAATAACACTTGAAACGGCTCTTCGTTTAAAGACCCTTATGAAATTCGCGCATGCGCCTTTAAAAAAATCCCAGTGAGCCTCATCATACGTTAAATAACACTTGAAACGGTTCTACGCCTCAAGAACTTGAATAAATCCTCCCGTGCGCCTTTAAAAAATCATAAAATAACACTTGAAACTTCTCTTCGTCTCAAGACCTTCATAAAACTCTCCCATGCGCCTTTAAAAAAACATTAGTGTTAAAGATCTCTTACCCAGGTAAAATAACACTTGGAACCACTCTTCGTCTCAAGACCTGCATAGAACTTGCCTATGCGCCTTTAAAGAATGACAAGATTGAGAAAGCCTCAAATTACGTAAATTAAAACTATAAACGTCTCTTCGCTTCAAGACCTTCATGTAATCCTCTAATGCGCCTTTAAAAAATTACAGGGCTCAGAAAGCATTAATCAGGCAGAATAACACTGAAGACGGCTCTCCGCCTCAATATATTTTTTTGAAAATCGTCCATGCTCCTTTAAAAAATTGCAGCGAGGGTTCTTGGACAGGCTATACTTTTATTGGATTTTTCTTTAAGTTTTTCGTTTCAATAATTGAAATTGATGAAATTTTCCGAGTTTGAGATAGTCTTTATATGGAAAAATGAGGTTTGAGACAAATATTTTCTAAAGAATTTCGACTTTTACTTCCTTTTCTGAATTTTGAAAGTTATAGTCGATGTGCCACGACTTGAAATTTCATGGAACGACACTCCGTTGGGTGGCCGTGGCCGTGAAAGCGCCTTGCCTTTGCGAATTTCAGTCGCGCTTTCCATTTTTTTCTTTCATTTGAAAAATTTTCATTATTTTTTTATTATGTTTTAATAGTTTTCCCCGTGCCAAACTCATAATTATCTTTTTCTAGTGGATAGACTGTTTCATTGATAAAAAAATAAAGTAGAGTAATTTTTCGAATTTAAAGAGAAAAATGCGTTTATAATATTTGAAAGTTTTTTTCATGAGATGGTTTTTGGTTTTGTTCAATATATTCCGTTATTTAACCTTCATTGAGCCTTTATCGACATTTCTTTTTTTCATTTCAAATAATGTAAAGATATCCCAATCAGAAATAAAATACACAGTGAATGATTTTAAAAAAATTGAATGTTTCTACATCGACGAATTTTATTTTAAAAAAAACAGATAAATAAGTTCAAAGGAAAAATTATTAGTTTGCTGGACATTTCGTTCAGCACATCGTTTCCACTGTTCCAATTGCCCACTGTTCACGCCATATTTCTGACGCATAGCTCAGCAATACGATTTATCTAAAGCTCCATTTAAAAAAAGGAACGAAAACCTTTCTTCAAATTATGGTGCATGTGCTCATGGAAGTAAACGTCTTCATTTTATAAGACACTCAATTTCTGAAAAAAAAAACCATTAACGACTGCAAACAGAAAAAAAAACGATGAAAACATTTAAACATGGCCTTAAAAAAACACAGAAACTTTTTGTAGAATATTGTGGTGTTTACGGCCTATTTCTCCCGCAAATCTTTTTGGTAAACCTTTGAAAAACTTTTTTTGAGAAACGAGAAAAAAACAATATTAAAAGCGATCGACGAATACATGAAGTTTTTTTCAAACTTTTTTTATCGCTTTTTTTCGAGAAAGAATATGAAATTTGCTGTGTTCTTTTGTTTACATTTGTACAACAAAAATTTTTTTGCAACGATAATAATACATTTTGAAGACATAAAACAATTAAAAAAACGATCAAAATCAGAATTAAAACCAAAAAAATTAGCGTGGCCGAGGTTGGCAAATTCGCAAGATGCGCGCTACCGCACAAATGGAAACAGCGGAGTGTCGTTCCATGAAATTTCAACTTGTGGCACATCGACTATATTTGAGTCGTTTTGAAAAAATCTCTCAAAATTACCAAAACTTCTTTTTTTATCTGTATGGCAATGAACTCAACTAAAAATCTCTTTCATTCTGAATTTTTTTTAATCAAAAATACTCAAGTTCTTAGCAAAAAATTTATTAATTACAGCCAACCTCTCCACTATCACCAAGATCTCCAAGATCAGCTTCGATTTCTCCAAACCCTCGCGGAGATCTCTACACTACCAGTCACTTTTCTTCAAATGAAGGTAAGAAGTTACTTAAAAATCGATTAAAACGACTTTTTATTTAGGAAAATATGAAAGAAACGCTCCGCCAAGAGTTTCTCTAAGAACGACTTCATACACAAAGTCAACTGGACACTTGAATCATTCTTCTGGTGAGTTTAATATACTCAATCAATAGTTCATTCGACAGCTTCTCATAAAATCTCTTCAAAAAACTATTTTTCGTTCCTTCCAGGCCTTCTGCTGGAAGGTGTTTGTCCTTTCGGCAAGGAATTTTAGCCTTTTTTCTCGAAAACTAGCCATTTTTGCTAAATGAGGACGTCAGAACCCTCAAAATCCATAGAAATGAGCTATTTCAGAACATTCAGCCCTCATTTCTCGAAAAGTAGGAAGTTTTGTAGGTGAAGGCTTAGAGCATTTATATAGGGGACTTCAAGAAAGATTCTCGCCGATTTTCAGAAAATTCCCCTCCTTGTAGGGAGTAATAAATGATTTTTTTCAGATCACTCTCCTAGTGGTTATCACAATTTGCGAACTTCTTTGGGAAAGGCCAAATCTGAGCTCTACGTCAACGACGAATATGCTGAAGTTCCGCCGAGACTCGAAGTCGGTCACGTCAAAAACTTGTCCAAGCTTTTCAGGTGGGTTTCAGGATAATTTTTGAGTCATTTCGTGACATTTTGGGATGTCGTGATAGTTAAATTGAAAAAGAAACATTCACTGACTTTTGGCAGGTAATAATAACTTAAAAAGGGCCGCTAATTATTAAATGGGGCCTTAATTATTTTTTTAGATCATATTTTTTTGATAATAGTCCAATCTCAACAGTATTTTCCTATAAACTAGAACGAAAATCGGTTTGAAAAAAATTAATTTTTTTCTCAAGGAAAAATAACTAGTCGAAAAATAGGCGTTTTTTTCAAGAATTTTCAGCCTGAAAGTACACTAAAAAAACCTGTCTTTCTTGAAATTTATAATGAAAAACTGAAAAAAAAGTTGAACGTTATAAAGAAAATGAGTTAAAAAGCGAATTTTGAAAATTTTTCCGAAGAAAATCGTCTTTTTTTTTGCATCCACATGATAAAACTGTGTGTAGACTTTTGTCTTTTCGTCAAAAATGTCTTTAAAAAACTAGTATCCCGAATCTCCATTGTATCTTTTCAGCAATCCCGACTCGAAGCCGCTTTCCACAAGTCAAATTATCTACAAAAGTGCGCCAAAATCTCAGCATTTCGTTGGAGATGGAGTGTCACATGAACATCATCACGGTAAAAAATTATAAATTAGGGAAAAATCTGGAAGAATGATTAATTCAAGAACAACAGCAAATTGTGAGGCCGAGAACTTTGCGGCGGATTCCCCTGGACGAGGTCGCCCTTCATGAAAGAAATACCCACGATTCAGAACATCATGAGGTTGGTTCATTTTTTAAAATAACCGCTGTTTTTCGATTCCGCAATAGAGAAAGAAAAAGATAACCTAAATTTGGAGCGACAGAGATAATTACAAATTTCGCGAAAATTTTGTGAACACGGTATAAGGAAAAAACAACTAAAATAATCAAAAATAATCAAAAAATATGCGAAAAATCGAGAAAAAAGAAATTATTTTCTTAATCACCGTCTCTTCGTGTCAATAGCTTCCATCAATGAAGAGCTATGCGCCTTTAATAAGAAACCCTCTCTTTGATTATAATTTCAGTTAATCTCACATTTTTCTTTAATTTTCCTCTTTAACAGGAATTTTCGAGTAATTTTTCGATGATAGCTTGATTCAAAGAGCGTACCTTATAAAAGTGCGGTTATTAAAGTGATCATTATTTTTCCTACTTTCTATAATTTTAATTTTTTTTTATTCTCTAGAGCTCTGGTTGGATTTTCCCGTACTTATTACCGATCTTTATTGGAAAAATTAAAAAGAATATAGGAATTATTTTTCAACTTTTTTTTTTTTTAGTTTAATGAGTCGTTTTTGGAACTGTCAAAAATAAGTTCCGGAAATTTTAAAAAAATCGCACTTCAAAGCTTCAGGTAAATAAGCGTAAATTAAATCCACAGAAATTTTAAAAAAAGAGTAAAAATCGTGAAAAATCTATGAAAAATCGGCGGAATTTTAAGACACTCGAGGGTTTAAAAAATATTTTGAAATCCAAAAAAAATTTTGAATTCCAGGAAACCTTTTCCAACTGATTTTCTCAGCTAAAATCTGTTTTCTAAACGAATTTTTCCAGAAACCTCATGAGATCAACGGGAATATTTCGAAGGACAGCGAGCACAGTGTTCATTATGCTTCCAGTGGTTAGTTTCTCTTCTAAGTTTGAAATTTTCAATAATTTCAGGACTTCTAAACGGTCACCACAGTACTTTCCATCACTCAAGGTTAAAAAAAAACTGAATTTTTCCTGTAAAAGAAGGAATTTTTCAGTGAAAACGACCCGCTGACCGTGAAAGTCCGCCGAGTTTACAAAGTCATCCATAATGGGTGAAGAAAAATATTTTTTCTTGGTAATAAAAAAATTTTCAGCGCCTCTTCGGTTCTTTCTCCCACTCACAATGAGCCAGAGTAGGTTTTGAATTTTTTTTTTTCAAAAATGTTTGATTTTTTCAAGCGACGCCTATAGGGTTTAGGGAAAAACAGCCCCCTAAAAGTGCTCCCTAGAGGGGTAAATTTCAGCTACTTTGCATAGGGATTTAGAGTATTTACCCCAAGCTCTTAAAGATCAAGTGACCCCTATAGGGTTCTTCCAATTGTTCATTACTATGCGATAGTTTTTCTTGTGGCCACTTAAGGGTTTTCAAGTTTTCAAGTTCATAACAAAAAATGACCAGCTTGCTCCCCTAGAGTGGCCACTTTTGCAAGCTCCGGCCCCTAGAGGGTAATTTTCAGGAGCCCCTAAGAGGCCACTCTGCCGTTTTCAAGTAGTTTAAATTTCGCTTTCAAAACGTTATTTTTTGGCAAAAATATTACAAATTTTGTATAAAATGTAGCTTAACAGAGTGCTTGGTTTAATTTTGAACTAAAAAACGAAAAAAATTTTTTTTAGATATTCCGTGCCTCCCGATGCTCAACACCGCCCCACGGTCGACGACCTTCTCTTATAATTGATGAATTTTTAACTTTTCCTCTCGTTTACTCAAAATTCAACTGTATAAATTATCATCCATCATGAAAACCTGCCAATTTTTCTTTTTTCTCCATTATTTTTCTATCATTTGCTCAAAATCCACAGTAGTTACATGTACTCTTCAAAAAAACCCGAAATTGCCTCATTTATAGTCATTTTGTGTAGTTTTTTTCTTCTTAATAAATTTTATATTGTGAATAAATGAAATTTGGAAAAACTCGACAGCAATGGAAGGAAAAAAAGAATGAATTTTAGACCTGTTTTTTTTCAAAAAAATAAGGAAAAAAACTGTTGGATTATTTCTTCAAAAATCATAATTTTTTTAAGAATTTTTGAAAGTGTGAAACGTATAGAAATGAAATTCCAACGAAAAGCTAAAAAAATCAAAAATATTAAAAACAATGAAAAAAACGAGTCGATTCGATGCATTAACTGAAATATATTACTTCACCGGTTTTTTTCAAATCGAAATTAAAATTTTATCATGATTTACAAGATATATATGAAGCCTAGGAGTTTGAAAAAAACAAAAATTAAAAAAATTTTTGAATAAAAAGAATTTTGAAAAAAATAGATAAAAAAACGTGACGTGAAACGTGTTGTGCGTTGAAAATTTTCATTACACTGTTTTTTTGCTAATTTTCCCCATTAGGAAGTTCTACAATATCAATTTCATTCACTTAATGATTATTCTACAAAGGAATCATGTAAAAACCTTCCAGGTAAAAGAAAACCTAACGATTAAATGTGGAACGCCATCAGAAAATATCGAGTTGAAATTTTCTTAATTTTCGCTTTATTGATCGGAGCAATTTGTATTTTAAACAGAGATGATCCCAGAGATAAAAAGGTAAGTCTATCAAAAATACTGATCAAATTGAAACTTCAGCACCTTCTCCCATTGAAACTTAACGTTTCGCATAGTGATAGAAGTGGCGGAAAATCGAAAAATGGTGTTTCAAATGAAGAACAGAAGAGTTTGTTTGAAGCTGTGAGCTCAAAACAACTTAAAAATCATGATATTATTTAATTTTTTTACAGAAGTGCCAGCTCGCGCGCTTGAAAGTCGATAATCCGGAGGTTTCCCATTGCATTTTTTTCACTTTTAGTCAAATTTTACATTTTAAGATATCAAAATTTTACAAAAAATCCCCAACCTCTTGCTTGTCAAAAAGCTGGCGTCGTTGAACCGGACTGGCTGTTCTTGGATGAAAAATAACTTTGTCCATATTGCCGAGAAGAGGTGAACGTTTTGATATTTTTTTAAAAGAATTTGTTTTATTTTTTTATTTTTTTCCGTTTTGCGCAACGTGTATACGGCCATGCGTTATATTCGACGACTTTAATAGTTTTCTCTTTTTTTTTCGATTCTTTTTCTGTATGTTATTGTGATTTCTGATATTCAGGAAAGACTTGAAATGTTCGGGAGAGTATTTCCTGTGGAGCGACGTCCAGAACAACGAATTCTCGAACTCTTTCCCAATTATCGACGGAAAAAGACTCAATGCAGCCGATTTCGGTCTCGTAACTTGTGAAGTGCCAGGAGCATTCAGCTTTTTCACGGAGAAATGGTTAAAAATGAAAAATAAATTCTTCATATTATGAATTGATTCAGGAACTCTATTTTGTGGACTTTGGCCGAAGATGAAAAAAAGCGGCGGAAAAAAAGCCAGAAATATTTTAGCGAGTTCAAATCGTACGGTGGATGATTATATGAATGTTTACATCTTGAGGTCTTCAAATTCTTTTTTTTAATAGTAAAAAACATTTTTTTCAGTTTCGATTCAATGAGCCAAATGGGTTTCCGTCGGAAAATGCCTAAAACTGTCAAGTTTCTCGAAGAAACTCTTGGTAGTGTAGTTCTGAACGGTATTATTAACTTTCCTGATCTAATAAATGGATTTTTAGGTTATAATATTGTTGGGGATGGGACTCCGCAAGCTATTATTCCAATTTTAACCGGCCAGACTGAGACAGAACTTCCTTTAACTAGGTTTCGAAAGTTGTAAGTCTGGAATGAGGAGAAAAAGTTCAGAAAACGGTACAATGATGCGAAATTTGTCGATGAGGTTTATCCGTTTATTTGGAATAATTTCACGGATTCTGGATATGTTACCATGTACGGCGAGGATATGTTTTCACTGGGTCAGTTTCTAAAATTGATGAAGATAATATGCAGCTCCCAAAAGAGAATAAGACTAACTTGCAGCTCCCAAAAAATGAGGAGACCTACTTGCAGCTCCCAAAAAATGAGGAGACCTACTTGCAGCTCCCAAAAAATGAGGAGACTAACTTGCATCTCCCAAAAGTTGATAGGACTAACTTGCAGCTCCCAAAAGAGGATTAGACTATCTTGCAGCTCCCAAAAAAGAATAGGACTAACTTGCAGCTTCCAAAAGGTGATAAGACTAACTTGCAGCTCCCAAATGCCGTTAAAACCAACTTGCAGCTCCCAAAAATTGATAAAACTAACTTGCAGCTCCCAAAAAATGATAAGGCTAATTTGCAGCTCCCAAAAACCGTTTAAACTAACTTGCAGCTCCCAAAAACTGATAAAACTAACTTGCAGCTCTCAAAAAATGAGGAGAATAACTTGCAGCTCCCAAAAAGTGAGGAGACAAACTTGCAGCTCCCAAAAATAAAAAAGCTTACCATGTTCCCGCTTGAATTTTGAACAATATCAAAACTCCAAAGGCTTACCGTAGCTTTGTCTTCCCGCTAAGACCCAGTTTTCTTCAGACACGTTCACCTACCGCCTGAAAGGCTTCTCAAAACCGCCAACTACCCATTATACCAGACCTTTGTTCAAGGAAATTGAAAATACCGTGGATCCGAATTGTGTTGGAGCCGTTCCGACTCATAAGGTTTCTATTGCGAAAAAAGAGGGAAATCTGGGAAAATGTGGAAATTGCGCTCCAAGGAGAAAGGCTCGAAAATGAGTAGAAAAACGTCTTTTGAAAGATAAAAAATACCGGAAAATGACAGTAAATCCATATTTCAAGCCGAAAAAAGGCCTGAATCACAGAAAAGTCCGCGTTTTTTGGAATTGTCTCTATGTAGCGCATTAAAAAAACTGTTTCTAAGGCTCTTTTTCAAAGAAAGAAGTCGAATTTTCATTCAGAAGTGGTTCGAGTACGGGCGCAGGTTCATGAAGGCCTATGATAATATTCCCAAATTTTTGTTCCTTCACCAAGGAAGACTTTCTCATGACGACATGAACCTGATCAGTGTGCAGGATCAAGATTTGGCTGATCATTTGGCTCAAATGCATAAGGAAGGTTTGAAAAATGAGGGAAAATGCAATATTTGCTGATTTTTGACGATTTCTGGTTTCGTCTCCACTGGAAATTGAAAATTGCACTTTCTGAGCGTGATTTTAAGCTTTTTTCTTGAAATTGAACTTTCAGTTTTCTGGAGGAGGGGAACATTTTTGAAGAATTTTAAGCTTGAAATGATTGACCTGAAATTTTTGATAAAATGCGTCATTTTTGAAGAATTTTCAAGCCTGATCCCTATAGTTTCTGCTCGAAAATTACTCGAGTTTAAAGGCGCATAGTCTTATTTCATTTTGTTTATTGAAATGAATAGTCTTTTATCGAGTTTTGAGCTTGAAATGTTCACTCTTATCCCTATATTGTCTGCTCAAAAAGGTCCTCGATGGTGCTTTTAAAGGCGCATGGCCTTTTTTTCAAGTATCGAAGCGAAGAGCCGTTTTCAATGGTATCTTAGACTTCTGGGCTCTTCAAAATCATGATTTTCAGCTTGATATCATATTTTTGAGGTCATTTTGACAACTCCTTGGTGATTTTGATGGCGGACCATGGGCCGAGATTCACGGAAATCCGACAAACTCATCAGGGACAACTGGAAGAGGTTGCTTTCCCATTTTGATAAGAATTAAAAAAGTTATTTCTTTTTTGAAACACAGTGCTCAAAAGGTCACTTAATGACTACTTGATGAAGACACTAAAGTGGTCACTGAATATTTTCTTCAGTGAAGCCAATATTTTACATCTAAGTGACCGCTATAGTAGTGTTTAGTGGTCGAATAGTACCACATTGACTTTTCAAAAGGATGCTAATTTTAAGCCGCTTAAGTGGTCACTAATTTGACTACTATATTGGCCACTGAAACTTCAAAATCCTAAAGTGCCCACTTAAATTTCCCCAGAGCATTTTGGAAAGAAGTTTTAAGAAAAAAATCCATTTCATCTTTTTGAACAGAAAAGGGAAATTTTTCAGCGCCTTCCATTTTTCTCCCTGGCCCTGCCAAAAAAGGTCAGAAACACGAGGAGAGGCGAGATTATGTACAAAAATTTGGTCGTCAATCAGGACAGGTTTCGTTTTTTTCTTTTAGCCATTCCAAGTGCGACCACGGAACTTGAAATCGAGACTAATCAGAATTGAGAATTTCAGAGTGGTCCCTAAAGGAACAAGCTTAGAGGCCCTTGGAGGGTCCACTTTAGGGAACACTCAACGAACCCCTTGCAAAAGTGGTTACTATAGGGATTTCAGTTAGTTTCAGTCCTATAGTCTGTTCAGATTTCAAACGTCAAGTCTTCGCTTAAGCTCCGCCCCCTAATGGCGCGGTAAACCAATCAGAGAGCGAGCCATCCACATAGTGTTTTTGAATGACGTCATTGCACTTGACATTCAAAATCTGAACAGTCTATTCGCAAAAAAGCAGTTCCATACGAAAAAAAAAAACGTTTTTTGAATAAAATTGATAGGCCCCTATAGGGACCACTTAAATTTCAGCCTTATAGGGACATTTTTCTGGTCCCCTATAGGGTGTTTTTTGCCTGACCACTATAGGGGCCATCATGGAATTCCTAAGTAAGTTACGCTTTTATGCTTTTCTCTGCGCCCTCCTCGTCTCTCGGCCACGCTCTCATGTTGACGCGCTGTTTTCCCGTTTTTTTTTGACCTCGCCAGGGAGGGAACAGAGAGACGCAGACGCGTCAAGTCGCGGAGGACCGGCTTTATTCCGCTAATTTTTCATTTTATCGATTTTTTCTCCAGATTGACCAGTCCTTTCGACATTTATTCGACCTTGATGGATGTCCTGAAGATGCCTGATGTGGAATTCACAAAAAGTTTTTTTGATTTATAATCAATCAATAATTAATTTAAGCCTCAACCGATCTCACAACGGTCTCAGTCGCTTTTCAAGCCCATTTCTGAACGGAGAACTTGTGCGCAGGTTTTTTTTTTCGAAATTGTCTGATTTTTAGCCTTTTAGAGAGTATCACTCTTTTCAGATTTACTTCAAATAAAAATCAATAATTTATTTTTTTAATATTGGATTAACCATGTTGGATGTGTTAGGTTTGAGGGATTTTAGTTGAAGGGGCCCCTTGAGAGGAGAGGAACAGAGTGGTCACTTTAGTGAGGAGTTAGCGGCCACTCTAGGGGTCACTTACAAGCTTAGCTCAGCCCTTAGCCTCAGTCGAGTTGAGAAATTCTTCTTCAACAGCAATTTTTTGAACTCTCTGTGAATGAACTTCAAAGGGAAATTCGCTATAGGGATTACTTCAGTGGTAATTTCAAGTGGCAACTCAAGAGACCCGCTTAGTTCGATTTGAGCTGAGAAAAAGCGAGAAAATGTCTTTGTCTTATAAATCACTCAAGTGGGTACTTGAAGCGATACGATGGTTTTCAGAGTGATCACTTTAGTGGTTCCTTTGAGGTATCATGTTTTGCCCTCTTTAGTGACCACTTAACAGTTTCTAGGGCTTCTCTCAATTTCTATGTTTTCAGGCAGGAATAGCTCCTCACTGGTGCACCTGTCTCTCATGGAGTGACGCCTTGAGTGATCCGGGAGATTTCCGGGTGTCCCAGCGGCTTGCCCGGGCTGTCGTCGACGCCATCAACGATGAAACGGCTCTTGAACGGAAACTGTGCGCCAAACTGAAGCTTGATAAGCTCCTAGAGTCCAAGAAGTAAAACTTAGTCCTCTGGCCGCATTGGGAATGGCTCGAAGCGTTGCGGATGCGGAGCGGAATGATTTTAAGTCCGTAAGATGCAGTTTTTGATGTTGATCCCAAATCTTGTTGAACAAGTCTATGAAAAAAGATATGAGCGTTTTTTTTTGGAAAGAAGTCATATTTAGAAGGCTCGTTGAGAGGCCTCAAATCTCCTCTTTTTCAAAATTGCGATGCTTCAAAAGCTAGCCATGAGAAAAAATGATTCATTCGAAAAGAGAGAAATCGAGGTGAAAAAGTATTACGTCGAATAGAACAAGAGTCCTCCGGTCTTGTCTTGCCGTTGGCGTGGCCGCCATTTATAGCTGTCGACGGCGGCTCTGAAAGCTTCAAAGTTTTAACTGGCCTGAGAAAAGAGCGTGGGCTCGCGACGGTAAGAGCTGATGCAATCAGCGCTCGTCGGAATGCTATCTTAAAAGCCTTTGGGCCGTCTGGAGCTTTCTGCATGTTTTCTAAGCTTTTTCCGGCTTCCTCGCACCTTGGTCGCCATCTAACAGTGCGAAAGGTCGAGGTACTCAATGAGACTTGGTATATAGCTACTTTCGTACCTGAAACCAAAGAAGTTGAAAAAAAGTGCGCTCAAAATGTTGGAATTCACCATTTTATGCAGTTTTGAGCAAGATTTTCGACAAAAAGTGTTTTCGTCTCGTATTTTTTTCAGACTTAATGGACTTCAATGAACAGTAAGAATGTTTTCATTGAAAACTTTTGTCAGAATAAGGAAGAAAAAGATATTGCATACAATTTTGAACTTTTCATTCATTAAAATTTCTCCAAGAAAGAGTCTACTAACACAAGGAACGATGGAACAAAAAAGTTTTTGTCGAAAATCTTGCTCAAGACGACATAAAATGGTGAATTTGGACATTTTGAGCGTTGTTTTTTCAATATCTTCTTTGACTTCATCAATTTTTCCAAGAAAAAAAAAATGGCAAAAATGAAATGCCCCAAAAGGATTCGAACTTGCATCATAGGTTCCACAGTGCAAGGCCGCTCGCCACTACACCACGCCGCCGGCTGGCAGCTAGAGTTAGCCGCCGCAAGACATTCCCTCCTTCCATCCAATGCGTTTTTTGCATGCAAACTTTGAGGCGCCATAACTCGACTAGAACCAAAAAGGCGCACTTTTTTCAACTTTATTGTAATCAGGGTGTCCTAAAGTACCTATGTACACGGTTCCATTTAATTCAAATACCTCGACCTTTCGCACTTCCCGTAAAAGGGCTAGTGTGAAGAAGAACAAGAAGAGAGAGAGAAAAACAAGAAAAAACCCAGATTTTGGCTCTTGGAGCTGCGAGGAAATCAAGAAATCAGTTCGTGGAACTGCTCAGCCAATGATGCCCAGCCATGGAGCTGTTAGACTTCTTAGGTAGAAGTGAAGATGCTAGAAAAGAGGAAAATACCTTTTTTTCGAGCTCTTAGGCGTGTAGTTGTCTGGTAGCCGATGCATCATATCCTCGCGAGGTCCTTTCTCCTTGATCGGAGAGCCACGCGGTGTTTTTCTTGTACCTTAAACTTGTGTAATTAAACCTTTATTATAAAAATAAACAAACGAAACGAAATAAAATGATAAAAAAGTGAAAAGGAGAAACGATCAGCCTGGCTGTCGGAGAAAGAATGAAGCAATCGTGTGGCCCGTGAGCTTTTATCAACTCGGTGACGACACGGTTTCTTAAAAGCTTTTGAAAGGTTTGGTCTGATGCTCACTAGGAAACGTTTTTACTTTTTGGCCTAATTTGCGTATTTTGCACACTTTGAAGCTCTATAATTCGGAAACAGGATCTATTGCGAGAAATTTGTTTCTTGATCTGCCATCAGGGGGTCCTAAAGTACACTTCAGCAAAGTTTCAGCAAATGTTCAACCGGGGGGGGGGGGACAAATTTTAAGTCGTCATAACTTTTTCATAGACTTTTTTGGAAATTTTCAAGGTCAGATATGGATTCAGAATGGAAAACTGCATCTAGCGGTTATCAGAAGTGAACCTACGGCGATGTTTCTTTGAATAATTTTAACTTGGACGCGACCGCAACGCTTTGAGCCATTCCAAATGCGACCAAATCTTTTCAAGAATGGGATTTTTTCCAGACTCACCTCCAACCAGGACCTTTTGGCGTACAATGGGGTCAAGGACAAGGACGGATTTGTACCGAATCTCAGCGGAACTACCGCCGCAAGCTTTGCTCATTATAATATCAAGTTCAAAACGAGGCCTGGGGCAGCTATTTATGAGGTGAGGAGAAACTTTTGGTGCTTAAGAAATTCCAATATGTCAAGGGAAATGGAGAAATGACAGAAAAATCGCCTGAGCAAAGATTTCTAACCTAAGGCGTGCTCACTAAAACTTGATCGATCTATCCTATTTTGAACCCTATAGTGGCTACTTGTGCTAGCTTCAGTGACCTTATAGGGGGTGGTAAGCGAAATCTTCAAGCGCTCCACGGTTGCCCCTGCAGGGACCACTCTGTCGTTCCTGAGTAACTTTAGTGACGTAAGCGCACTTAAGTGATCACTAGTAACTATCAGGAATGCTTACGTCACCGAGGCACAATTGGAGGGTTTTGATGTTTCATGAATAATAGATCTTTTGCGTGGGAACCGGAAAACCGACTTTCCAAACACAAAAATTACCGTAACTCGAAAATTCATACAGTAATCCCAGATGGTGTGTACTTTAAAAGTTTCTGAAATTAGATTACCTATCGATTGATGTATCACTTGCCTAGTAAAAACTCTCCAATATTTAGATACGCAGGTGCCCACCTGCCTACCGTAACCCAGCTACAGTAAGAGGAAATGGCTTGTTTTTGAGAATTACAGAGACTGCGTGTTAAGTGCGCTTACGCCGCTTAAGTGAGGTTACGTCCCTAAAGTTACTTAGGAACGAGAGAGTGGCCCCTAGAGGGGCAACCATGTGGAGCACTTGAAGGTTCCGCTTTAGAGGTCACTGGAGCTAGCAAAAGTGGCCACTATGGGGTTCAAAATAGGATCAAGGTTTTCCCCTGGCTTTCCCCAGAATTCTAATCAACTTTTTTGTTTGCTTCAAGGTGACCTTGTTCTACGACGGCGTCACGGACTCGTCGCACCTGGATCTGTCCCATTTGAGCCATGTGAATCCCTACGGCGACAAACCCCACTGTGTCATCGATCGGAACTATTTCCTCGCCACTTTTTGTGTCTGCTATGATAAGATTTAGACTTTTTGAAGGTTTACTGCAAAAATAACTGGCCTTTTTCGTTTATGGAAAGGAATATAGCTTCGAGAAGAGCTGTTGGATAAAATAGCCTTCATTTGTTTCAACATATGCGCTCTGAGGATAATTGTGGTTTATTTTTTCTTACACTTCAGTATTTTCATTCTCATGATGATATTTCGTTCCAATTTTCTCTGCTCTTTATGCCTTTTTTCTGTCATTATGATCTCATCTCGCTTGTCTTTTTTTGTATTTTTACGGGTTGATAAAGGATTTTTATAACTTTTTATTGTCCCTATATGTCTAATATTCATCGGCGTAACTTACTTGATGTATACTTGTCAAAATTATCAATGGAGCGCAATTTTAACAACGTTCAGCGGCTTTTTTTTCCAGAGCTCAATTTATCCGTGATTTGATTGAACCATGATTTTCCGGTGCTGTTTTTGCAGCTGGAGCTTCTCACGCCCCTCTAGGAATCACTTGAGCTCTATATTTTGCTTGGCAAGTTTCCGTACTTCTTTGAAAATCCACTAAATCATCGATGGAGCGCAAAAAGGACAACTGTAGTGGCTTATTTTTCATGGCTATTTTTAGCTGTGATTTCGGTGGGCCATGATTTTCTGAGGCTCAGTTTGTTTATCATATTTATCACAGTTCAATTTTTGCAACTTTAGTTCCTCATGTCCCACTAGGAACCCCTTGAGCGCTATATTTTGTGGGGCAATTTACCGTATTTTTTTTTGAAAATTAACTAAATTATCGATGGAGCACAAAATGGACAACAGAATGTAGCGGCTATTTTTTCCTGGCTTTTTTAGCCGTGTTTTGGGTTTTTGCAAATCCAGTTCCTCATGTCCCTCTAGAGACCCCTTGAGCCATTTTTTGTGTTACGATTTTCCGTATTTTTCGAAAATGAACCAAATTATCGATGGAGCGCAAAAGTGACAGAATGTAGCGGCTCATTCTTCCTGGCTATTTTTAGCCGTTATTTGGTTGGACTATGATTTTCTGAGGCTCTTTTTGCAACTCGAGTTCCTCACGCCCCTCTAGAGACCACTTGACCGACAATTTCGAGGAGCAAACTATCCGTATTTCTTTGAATGTCTACTAAATTATCGTTGGAGCGCAAAAGTGATGTTTTATAGCGGCTATTTTTTCCAGGGCTCATTTTAACCGTGATTTGGGTGAACCATGATTTTTTTGAGCCTCTTTTTGCAGCTGAAGATCCTAGCGCCCCTCTAGGGACCACTTGACCGACAATTTCTAGGAGCAAAGTATTCGTATTTCTTTGAATGTCTACTGAATTATCGTTGGAGCGCAAAAGTGATATTTTATAGCGGCTATTTTTTCCAGGGCTCATTTTAATCGTGATTTGGGTGAACCATGATTTTCTGAGGCTCTTTTTGTAACTCGAGTTCCTCATACCCCTCTAGGGACCACTTGATCAATTTATTTGACGTGCAAAGTTTCTGTATTCCTTCAAAACCCACTTTTCACTAAATTATCGTTGGAGCGCAAAAGTGATATTTTAGAGCGGCTATTTTTTCCAGGGCTCATTTTAACCGTGATTTGGTTGGACTATGATTTTCTGAAGCTCTTTTTGCAACTCGAGTTCCTCATGCCCCTCTAGAGACCACTTGACCGACAAATTTGACGTGGAAAGTACTCGAAATTCGACTCATTGGCGATTCTTCTCGTTGACTTGATGGGCCAACGTTTCGCTGCCTTCTCTCTTTTTCTGATCGATCCAACCAACCCAGAACCCGAGAGAACGCTGCCTTCTCTTCCGTTTCCGTTCTCTTCTCAGTTCTTTTTTTTTTTTTTTTTTCGTTCCCGCCGTCTTGTCGCCTCGGGGCGTCCCTCGGTTGTTTATTGTTGATCCGGGTGTTGATTTTGAGCTTCTTCTGTTGATTTATCGCCTTTTTTGAGAAGTTTGGGAGGTTTTCCCTGTTTGGAAGTTGGTCCAAAAGGTCATGAAAATCGGAAAATTCATTTTTGACTTTGGGATGTTTCTGGCTTTTTTTCTAAAATCTCAGTTTGACAGGAATTGACCTTTATGATAATTTTATCATTTTTTTAAGTCGATCTGATGGCTTTTTTTCAAAATTTCAAATTTTCATTGTGAACAAATTTTTATTTTTGAGCTTTTTCAAATCAGCTTTTTTTCATGCTTTATACTCATTTCTGAGCGGAATTCCAGGAATTTTATGAAAAATGACTTTTTGAGGTTCTTTTCCAGCTTACAGCGGGTCTGTATAGAATTTTTTTCGGGCTCCTGAAAAATAAATGATTTTTTTAAAAGCTTTTTTTCTTGCCCTTTCATAGTAAAATGTAGATTTCTCAGCTTTTTTTGTTGAGGTTTTTTTTCCAATTTATACTGTTTTTTTTCTAGAAATCACATATCAATTTCGCAGCTTTTTGATAAAAAAATCAAAGATTGTTATGCTCTTTTCTTACTTTTCACTGGAAATTTTTGATTTTTGAGATTTTTTCGTTTTTTTTTCCATTTTACAGTGGTTCTAATTCTCAAAAAAAGAGATTTATAGGCTTTTTGACTTTTTTTCAGTGAAATGGTAGATTATCCGCTTTTTTTCTATCATATTCGATGATTTTTTTATTGTTTTTAATTTATTGAGCTCTTGATTCTAAAAAAATAATCGTTCTCAAAAAAAGACCTTTTTTTCTTGGTTTCTCCCAGTAAATTTTGATTTTTTTGAGATGTTTTTAAAAAAATTTTTTTGTGGTTTTTTTCTTTCAATCTACAGTGGTTCTCCCAGGAAATCTTAACAAAGTTTTTTTTCTGAGTGAAAAAAATTTTTTTATAAGCTTTTTCGCTTTTTCATGGTAAAATCTTGACTTTGAAGATCATTTTTTTGATGATTTCAGCTTACAACTATTTGCTTCAGAAAAATCAAAAATTGGCAGTTCCTGATGAAAAATGATTTTTTAAGCTTTTTTCTAACTTTCACGAATGAACTCCCAATTTTTCAGCTCCTCATGCCGCAAGAGGAGCTGAAAAATCATGCGTTCCATGATTTTTGGTTCCAACCCTTTTTCCAAAACGATGACGCGGTTTTCCAAAAAAAAAGACCACCACAAATTGAGTTGAAATGCACTTGACAAGTGGTGGGAAGTCGCTCAGCCACGGAGAACAACTGTTCGCGATTTCAAGGTCTTCTTCTTTTTCCTCGCCTCGTCCAGCCACATGCCTCGTATCCCGAAATAATAACACAACACAACACTTTTTACGTTTTTTTTTTGCCCCCTAATGGCGCGATAAACCAATCAGAGAGCGAGCCATCCACAGAGTGTTTTTGAATGACGTCATTGCACTTGCCATTCAAAATCTTAACAGACTATAACAACACCAAATCTTAAAAAAATGAGGAAATTTCGATTTTTTGAAATTTGCGGCTCCAAACTCTTCTTTATATGTAAGTACATCAGATAACGTCATCATCGCTTCAAAGAATCTATTAATGACGTCATTCACTGTTACTCCTCATGTTAGCTCATTTTCGCGACATAATAACACAACACAACACTTTTTACGTTTTTTTTGCTTACTTTTAGGATTTTTAGTGTATTTGCTTCACGAGAAAGTGGGAAAAAGTTCGATTTTTATCCGATTTTTGTTAAAATTTGCGGCTTCAAGCTCTTCTCTTCATGTAAGTACATCAGACAATGATCTCATCGCTTCAAAGAATCTATTAATGACGTCATTCACTGTTACTTCTCATGTTAGCTCATTTTCGCTCACCTTCTATCCCGAAATAACAGCACTTTTTACGATTTTTTTTTGCTTATTTTCAGTTTCGTTGCTTGAAAAAATCCACCCTTCAGTAAAGTTGTATTGCTCATTTTAGCTCATTTTGATTAAGAAACTAGGGCTTCTAAGTCATTTTCTAGTTCAAAACCTGTCTCGAAAAAGTGTTGCAATGTTATTCCTTTATTATTTCTCATGTTAGCTCATTTTTCATCCCAGAAAGTTTTGTTTCAAAATCACCTTCTTTTCCATAAGCCTCTGTAGAGAAGAGTATTCAAGACTTAAGTACTCTATTATTGCTCATATTAGCTCATTATTGACCAATAATAATCGTTCAAAAGACGTCTTCTGGCTCAAAACTTGTACAAAATGGAAAGCCCGATGCTTCCCTCCTCGTATTGCTCATGTTAGCTCAGGTTCTTGACTAGTCCCAGGCGAGCCGTTTCAGTCTTTTCAAGCACACAAATCCGGATTTGGGAGAAAGGCGACTTGAAATAATCCGGATTATTTTCTTCACTTTCTCTTCCCGGCCTTTTTTACTTTCATACAAAGTTACCTTTCTTTGCTATTTTTCTCTCTAGATTCGAAAAACTAGAAAATGGCAAAAAATATCAAGTTCTGGGCAGGGATCGAACTCAAGACCTTTTGATTGTCGAGCTGAAGGCTTAGCCAGTTGACTAGACCTTTATTACTCATTTTATCAGTTTCTTTTATTGATTCGAGCTATAAAAAAAGATCTAGCAAAAAAAAAAACGAGCTTTAATTTCTCAAGCGGAATCGAACCAGTGACCTTCAGACTCATAGTCAAAGCTCTTTACCACTTTACCAACATGCTGAAATCCACGAATGGGTCTTTAAGAGCCCTATATTGATCAGTATCGACCTTCTTTTTGAACTTGGGACGAAAACCTTGGTTTCTCCAACTTTTTGAGCCTTTTCAAGTGAAAATAATCTTTCTGTTCGCTTTTTCCAAGAGGAACGCGTTTTTCGCGGTTCTCTGGTTTTGCGAAAGCCGAAAAAAACCGGAAGCCTGAAAAGCGCACCTTATAAGGAATTCATTGCCACAGAATCGGCCGGCTTTTTGGCTTTTTTTGAACTATCTTTGAGCAACTTTTAGTGGTTTTGTCAAAAAGTACTTTTTTTGGGATTGAAAAAAAAGATCTATCTCTTTCTATGTAGAGCTTCGTACATTTAGAAAAGTTTTGACTTGATTTTTTGAATTTTACCAATACAT